GTTCCGTATTTTAACCCCATATCCGTTCCGTTCCGCATTTTAACCCCATCCGTTCCGCATCCGCTTCCGCATTTTAACCTAACCCAGGATTCGAGTCAGGAATCGAGTGAAGGACTCGCTATTAACGATGTATTTTATTAGACACTAAATTAATAAAGTTGCTACGATGTAGGAAAAATATAAAAACTATGCCATTTGGTTGTAGTTTGAAAGACACATACTAGAGTCAAGCCGAGTAATGATTCGAGTCGAGTAATGATTTTATTTTATTTATTGTAAATTGAAAAAATAGAGGATGCGTAGCCAGGTTGAAACATAATTTATTTATTGAACGTTCTCTGACTAAATATTTATTTCTACGAGCTTTCGGCTATCAGTCTATAGCCTTCGACGGGTGAATACAAATGATTCTATAAAGGACGCTAAACTTAAGTAGGTGGTATGAAATATGAGATTATCTATGCTATGTTACAAATGAGGAATATAAATATTTAATTAATGTTTCTTGAGTTCCTTTCTTAAGAGTATTGTGTATTGTGCTGGAAGCGTACGTATTAGAGTTATTATCAGCTTCGTCTGTTAGTGCAGTGTGCCAGGACTCTAAGGTTTTAGGGTTCCAATGATTTCCTTTGTCTATTACTTTAGCATTGGCAAAGTCAATATTATGATAATGGATTTATAGAATCATAGATTAATAGATTTATAGAATAAATAATAAATCATAGATTAATAGATTTATAGAATAGACTGATAGCCGAAAGCTCGTAGAAATAAATATTTAGTCAGAGAACGTTCAATAAATAAATTATTGTAAATTGTTGAAGAATACGACTGTTCTCATCACGACGTTTCATATGCCATTTACGACATTCGCATCTGTGTTGTGTCGGATATACAAATATATCCAATGTATATATAATACATGTTGTAAGTAGTACATGTGAAATTGTGGTAGCTAGTTTTCGAGTCGGTCAATAGTTGATTGTCTTTTATTATTATGATCAACCAATCACAAAGCCCGTTCACATAGAATGGTGGCGACCCTATGCGTGAAAAGTATGAAGTCAATCTTGCCGATGAAATAATCATCGCCACAAAAGTACAAAATTTAATGGCGGGACAGACAGTCCAGGATCGGACGGACTTAAACGTAAAGTAACTTATTTTTCCGTGTGACAGTTCATCAACAACATTTTAACTTTCCCCCTATTACCTCCAGTCGTGTACTATAAAAATTTCCACTTTTGACACAAACATAATTTAAATGTAATAGATGGGAACAGCCATTTAGCTCTTGTAAATTTAATATTGCGATACATTTTAGTGCTAATAAAATCGGAAGACCCCCAATGTTAAACCAATATCTTTTGAAAGTTTTTGAAATGTTGGCAAAATTTGTGTATGTATATATATAAGCCATTTGTCTTTAGGTCTACGCATGTATAAACACTTAGTATACCTGTAATAGCTATATATTATTATAATAAAACAATCGGAGCTGAACCAATATCCCCAAATTACGCTAAAACACCGTCTTGCTATATTCAGGAAATTGAAAATAATACAACATCCACCAAAGTTAGCATGCATAGATAAGGTTAATCAATTTTTACCCGCACGTCAATTGCATAGCTTTGTTCTATTTTGGCCTTGTTACATGCTATATCTCCGTATCCCCAATTAGATCCTCCAGCTGTATACAACGTTTTTTCCATCTCAACTGAAAATAAAATCGACTTAGCTTTAAAACTGGCTTGCACGCATGCCTCGCCTTTCAAGCCAATGATCTCGAGATAAAAGCTGCATTTACTCAAGTCTTGCGCATAATCAAGCCGAAGTCGCATTGCATATCCATGATACCAAAATATATCTGAAGAAACAGGAACTCCTGGAAATTTTGTTAGTTCTTGAACGAGTTTGTCATCAATTACCCATGAAAACGTTGGACCGGCATCTTCAACCAAACGACGTTTCTTCGGCTTCGGTTCGAGTTGTTCCCGCCTATTCCGTGAAAATCCATGATATGATAAACCTTTCAGGAGAAATTTGTCATATCCAGGCATTCTTCTGGCCACAAAATGATCTTGCACTACATCATACAGGAAATCCACAGACATAAACTCAAATCTTACAAGATCCAATAGATCACATGTATCGTGTTTTACCCAAAACACATTCAAGCGAACCCATTTCATCAATGCAACAAATACTGTGTTTTCAGATCGACTGCCCAAACTATCACTTCCTAGAAGAAGCCTCAGCGCGGCTTTTGAAAGTCCAGTAAACTTTTTCATAGTCCACGTTTCGTCAATCGGTGTAAATTCCTTGACAAGGAACTTCTCGAGCATATCATATATATCAGCCATGTCGGAAAGATGTTCCATTTCTCGGAGACAATAATCACACATTTCCAAGCTTGGTGGTGTGGACAACAGAACATACTTGCACTTCTTGATGACAAGGCGAACATCATACTTGTTTGCAAGGACAAGAACTTGGACAAGAAGACGGTAGTCTTTGTCATTGAGAACATCAAGTTTGTACATCGCTTCAATTAAGGTTATATGAGACTGAAGATCATCTTCATAAATTTTCATTACTACCTCCTTGGAGTAAGTTTCTTTCATGCCTGAATAAAACAGTGCCTTGAAATAAGGGCTTTGGACCGCTAGCCACTGGCTGTGAACAAACAATTTGCTCACTATGGATTTGCTTTCACCATCTTTACCGGTACTTTTTGTGTCTTTATTTTGGTATTCATTGCGTGGTTCCTCTCCATCTTCCTTTTGTTCCAACGTTTCCCTTGTATTGCTATTTTCCATGATTTGGTCTACCGCTGAGTCTTTATTTCCGTCTACAAGTAAATATTTATAATAATTATCAAAAACATTACAAATGTTGTGTCTCGTTCAGAACCATCCTCAGAGATATACAAAACTACCGTGGAATCAGTAACATGAAATTGCTTCAAGTTTTAAACTGTATAAGGGACCGGTCATTATTTATGGCGGGGGCTGGCACCGAAGAGAAAAGGGCTGTGTAAACAAAAATTTTAAAATTGTCATTTCCGAAACATGACAAGAACTCACTCAAATATTGAAAACTAAAAAGCAATGTCAACAGTCATATGTGAACACAATATGTAAACCAATCAGAGTCACTGTCTTGATCATTTGCCGATTTGTAAGGAGGCAAATGGTGTCTCCAAAGAAAGAAAATTGTTT